GGCTGGCTTCGAAACACAATCCTCCTGATCTCTGCCTCCTGGGTAGCTATGATTACAGGCATGAGCCACTGGTGCCTGGCCTCTTTTTCTTTTTCAAAAGACACATTCTTATTTGTAGCCCAGGCTGGTCTTGAACTTGCAATCCTCTTCTCGCAGCCTCCTGAGTACTGGGATTACAGGAACACCACGCTTGGGTCTGGAATGTCATTTTCCTCTCTTTTTCTTTCATTCTTTGTATGTCTTTGCTGGTGTAGTATAATTCTGGCAGGCAGCAAGCAACTGAGTCTTCATTTTTAAAGTTAATCAGCTAGTTTATGCCTTTTGATTGGGGAATTAAGGCCATTTACATTGAAAGGTATAATGAAAATTATATACTAATTCCTATCATTTTCTTCTTTGCCTAATGCTCTTTTTTCCTAATTTTTGTTTGCTTATATACTTTTCTACTGTGATTTCTTTTTTCCTATGTTCTCAGGGTTGTATTTATCTTTCTCTTTGGTGTGTAGGGTTCTTGTAAGTATCTTCTACAATGAATCCCTTAGTTTATGCTTATCTTGGAAGGTCTTTGTTTCTCAGATATATAAGAACTTTAGTGGATGTAGCAATATAGGTTGGCAGTTATTTTCTTCTAGGGCTTGAAATACATCATTCCACAATCTCCTCACATTTATAGTTTCTTTTGAGAAATCTGTTGTTATACTGTTAGGCTTGCCATTACAAGTGAGTTGGTCTTCTCTCTGACAGTTGTCAATATTCTTTTGATGTCCTGTATGCTAAGCATTTTAAGTGTGTTATGGCACTGGGAAGTTCTTCCTGGTCATGTCTATTTGGCATTCTAAATGTCTCCTATACTTGGATTTCATATCTTTCCCAAGTTTTTTCTGGGGGATTTTCTGCTATTATTCCATTGAATAGATTGTCTTTGTCTTCAGTCTATACCTTGACACTTTATTCTACACCCAAAATATGTGAATTTGGCCTTTTAGTCATGTCCCAGATGTCTTGCATGTTCTGTTCATAATTTCTTACTTTTTATTACTGTCTGAATGTTCTAATTTATCAACTTTGTCTTCAAGACCTGAAATTCTCTTTTCTGCTTGCTCTAGCCTATTGGTGAGCCTTTCCATTGATTTTTTTTTTTTGTTTTACTCACTGAGTTTTTTACATTTCTAAGGATTTGTTTGTTTTTTCAAAATTCCTCTTTATTGAACTTCTCATTCATACCATATGCATCATCTTCCTTAATTAACTCAGTCATTTTTCTGTATTTTCTTGGAATTCTTTCAAAAGATCACTCTTTTTAAGCCTTCATTTGATATCTACTTCAATATCTTTGGAGTCAGTTGCTAGAGAATTACAAACTTTTGGAGGAGTAATGTTGCCTTGTCTTTTCACAGTTCTTGTATTTTTGTGTTCCATTGTGATGGCTCTCTTTCACTTCTTTGTGAAAGATTTTTAAGGGAAGAACCTTCTTTTGACAATGTGCCCCTGTATATAAATTTGTTGTGATGTGTGGAATATATTTCCAACTGGATTTTGTATAGTTTCTCTGTTATTTCTTTGGTGGGTATTAGTGTATTTTGATAGAGTCTATAGTGTTTCAGAGTCAGTCTGAGGGTCTTGCTTTATCTGTAGGTACAAAAGAGTGAAATACTTCTAATAGATCAAGCAGATGTGTTGTAGACAGTGAAGTGTTATGGGTATGCCATCTGTAATTACTCCTCTAATCTTGTCCACAATCTGCAGTCTGAAAGCATATAGGAGTGACTTTGCTGCAGCTCCTTATAAGTACAATGTCTATAGTCTTTTGTTTATTTGTTTCTCCCTGCTGTTCCTGTAAGAGTGGATGACTTAGAACAGGTATTAATGTCCCCTCTCCCCACTCAGTCATGCCTAGATGGAACCTGGTTCTTGGCTTAGAGTTTTTATTGCCATATTCTTTGAGTTAAAGTATTTGTTCATGTTCCAGCAAGAACTGGTTGTGTACAGACCAAGGTGGAATGACTCTTACACTGAGAGTATAGCCCAATAGCAGAATATCTATAAAATGGTCTCAAAGTGTCATACTCAATCCCAGCACCATGTAGAAAGGGGAAGACAATAAAGTAACAGCAACGGATAGCAATAGACCAGATACAGAAATAAAGCAAAAACTAGTCATAATACCCACTTCTTTTACAACAACAAAGGGAATGATAGAGACAGAAATAATATAAACCAGAATGTTTGAAAGGAGATGATTTTTAAAAGAAAGAAAATTAAAGGAGAAGATTGTAGGATATGGGAAAATTAGAATACTAAAAATGGGACATATCAGAAGAAAGGCAGAAAATGAAGGAGGTGATTTACAAAAAAAGAAAAAATAGACAGCAAGACTATAAGAATTTGATTATTAGATGGAGAGGCAGAAAGTAACAAAAATTAAAATAATCCAAGAGAAAATATATGTAAAAAAGAAAACATACACATGAACCAATCAGCAAATACAAAAAAGGAAAGGTCTTAATTTTTTTAAAGTTCTAAAAAAAGTATTGTCTACATTGTGGTAATCATGCAGGCAAGAGTGGATATTCATTACTTCTGCTGATTTGTGCTTCTTTTTGTGTCTTCTTGGGCTGTGTGTCTTTTGGAGAGAATTGTGTGTGTGTGATGCTTGCCAGTTGGTCACTGGGTATGGTTTGGGACCAGAGCTGGTTGGAATTGCTTTGTTTTCCTGCTTGCTAGTATAAAGTAGGATGGAATCAAAGTTCTTTTGGGTGGAGTTTACTCTGGATCCCCAGGTCTGAACTGCTCCCAAGTTGTGCTGCTTGTCTGAATCTCAGGTGCCCTAGTGAAGCCCACCTGGAAGGAAGGGCAGGAGTAACAGTAGGTCCTGTGCTTTCCACCACCCCACCATGATTTTCTGAAGCCCCTGCATAACTGCATGTACCTTCTCAGTCTTCTGACCTCCTTTAGCTGGCCACTGGAACCCCCAGTCTTAAAGGCAAAGTGAACCCCATTCTGTTCCATGTCTCAGACCTGAATCCCACTGCATTTATTTTTTAAATGTGCTTGCTTTAGTGATGTTCCACGGGGGCCACCTTGGGACACAGATGGACATTGGTAAGGGCAACATGGCAATACTTGCTGTGAGTTCCAAAGAAAAGGAAAACATAGGGACTGTGTCCCAAAGCAGCAAGTTTGCCTATCTTAAGATAGCTCTCCTCTAGAGCACCACACTTTCATGTTGATAAATGCTGAACATTGCTCAAGCATCAGCATACTATACAGCTAAGTTCACACTGCCTTTCTGTTTTGCATCTGTTCCTGTGTCCATTTTCCCCCATCATGTCTCTCCCTTTTCCTCCTTCTGTTATCCCTCCCATCTGGTATGCCACAGGCCACTGTGGGCTCATAATGGATGGGCTGTTTCTCACTGTCTGTTCTAGTAAAAGTCTCACAGTCTCTGGATCTCTCCATGTCTCTGTCTGTCCAGTATTAAACTTCAGTGCTTCCCTTTAGTCACTCACCTCATTGAGAAACTTTTTTTCTGGCTCATTCAATTCTGAATCACTGAGAAGCTGGAAATGTAGAATTTGTCCTTCCTTCTTCTCTTTTTTTATTGGTAAGAATTCGGTTTCCTGGGTATATTTAGGAGTTCTCTGTGTGAGTTGAGTCCCTCATATATTCATATGGGTAAAATATACATTTCAACAAAAGCAGCTGAAGACCCTTCATCCTAAGCAAGTGAATACAGTCTATTCCATTTTGGTCCATGAAACACACTGAGATCCCTGGATGCCTTTTGAAAGTAAGGGTGTGAAGTACAGCTTTTCATGGGACTATGTGAAATTTATTCAGGAATCACAACCATCTTTCATCTGAACATGTTTTTTGGAGAAGACTCAAGCCTTTTGTTATAGATTGAAATCTGGCCTGGCTGAGGCTATGATAACCACAAGTTTGGCTGCACTCAAAGATGAAACAAGATTCCAGTGTAGCCTCATGGCTTCTTCAGTTGGCATCACATCTGTGGGAAGTTCATCCACTGTGAACTTGCCTTCCCACAAGATGCTTCCATGCATGCTCACCTTCCCTACCTTCAAGTCTACCAATCTATCCTAATCATTTGATTTTTCTCACTTAGAGTCCTCATCTGGGAGTCTATTATCTCTCAAGCTGTCTTGGGAGCAAAGACCTTGACACAAAGGTTTTCTGTAGTAACTCTGCATCCAGTGGTGTTATGTTTATAGCTTGGGGGAATTGGCATCTACACCATAGAATCAGCAAACAAGGAAACCTGCAAGAGGTACAAATCAGGGTTTCCCATCCAATGCCTGGACAGCCTGTTTCAGACATGTGCTAACATACCCCAAAGTGATGTTCTCATCTCGCAACTTTGACACCCTGTGTGCCAGGGACATAGTAGGTGCTTAGTAAATATTTCTTGAAGGAATTAATGAAAAGAAAATGACCATATTATAATTGGTAATCTGAGTCCCCCCCACCTTGGACATCTTTATTATTTGGGTCTAGAAAAAAACTCCTTTTGCCCTGCTCCCCTGATGTAGCTATGTCTTATGGCATCTCATGTGCCTCCATAGTAAGTAGTGACTGCTAAATGTTAAGATTCATTCTATGATGTGGTCTCCTTTTGGTCCAAATGCTGCTTGCGACCCCCAGCTGTGGGAGTGCCTCTCACATCTGCTATCAAATTATGCCTGTGTCTATGTGATATGCTTCTATTCAAAGTCTCCACACTTGATCCTCAGAGCAGCCATAAGATAGGTGTAGGGCAGGGATGAAGGGATAGGGCAGAGTGGTTGACTACTCTGATGTTACCACACTTCTAAACACAGAGCCAGAATAAGAACTCAAGGCATCATAGTCCAGGTCAGGTTGGTCCCCAGTTTCAGCCTGCAATATGACACTCTCCAAGACCTTGGCTGTTCTCTCCCTGCTCTTCACCCATGTCTGGTCAGGGTTGGGGTACTTATCCCCACACCTGTCCTCCCCCTCAGGCCTGAAGGTCATTGTGGGTGCCTTACTGCGCTCTGTGAAGAAGTTGGTCGATGTGATGATCCTCACCCTCTTTTGCCTCAGCATCTTTGCCCTGGTAGGTCAGCAGCTCTTCATGGGAAATCTGAACCAGAAATGTATCAAGAAGACCTGTACCTTTAACTCTAAAATTAACGGTAAGTACCCTGGCTTTTACCCTTCAGTTTGTGCATGGTTAACTTTTATGTACCCTCATACCACCTGCATACCTTGTTCTTAGGTGCAAGGGAAAACTTTGTTCATCCAAGGATATCAAGCAAGCAGATACATTTCATAGGGAATTTCCCCGTTATTTGGGTTTCTCTAGAGAAAGAAAAGGTCTGAAGCTACATCCACAAGAACACTACCTATTTTCATCTTCTGCAACTTAGATCTCAGCCCAGTATTTTGCAAAAGTGTTCAGAGCTCCTGGATTTGGCCAAAGGGAATCAGCAACTTCTAAGGGCACTCCCATCTCTATCCTCTGCCAAGTATTTTCTGCAATGACATTTTTTTTGTGCCCATCCTCTCCACAGTGAGGTCAATCCTACCTCTTTCATACATTTCAAATCTCATGTGACTATATTCTCTCCATGTCTGTCATGAGCAGACTGCATGTCCAACATCAGCTGGAGCTGATCTCTCATGGGCCGAGTCTATGCCCAATGTGCTGCCACCTCCCCCAGGCTGGTCTCTCATGGACCAATCTGTGTCCAACATTCCCACCAAATTCCCCCCACCCCAGGGCTGGTCTCTTGTCCATTCATTGTTATGTATCATATGAACCAAGATGTAGATTAGTGATGGTGAAACCATTGCTACCTCCTACCATTTCTCCTTCCTTCTTTCCCTCCTTTTCTCTTACTCCTTCCTAAGGACTTGAAACTCAGCCCCTCTCTGGATGATACTTTGATCATTTTAGAGAACTCAGAACCACTTGCTTTCAAGAATAATCTAATAGCATATTTGCTATTCTTTTTCCTTTCAATGTTTTTTTAAATCTTAATTTATGGCTCTTCCTGTTCTCAGAATCTTGTTTTGAAAAAGAAAACAATTCCAAAGAACCCATAATGTGTGGGACCTGGTTTGGCAGCAGGTAAGAGGTTTATACTCTCCACTTCCCTCCCAAGCAGAGTGCCTCCAGACCTTTTGGAATGGTGTGTCAAGTGGTCTTCATGTAATAACTGGCAGAAGTGTTGAGATTTCTCAGACAGTGCTGATTATTTCCTATGTCTACACAGGTTTACTTATTTACTTACTTACTTTTGTGTGTGCATGACAGGATCTTAACATATAGCCCAGACTGGCCTCAATCTCACAATCTTCCTGCCTCAGCTTCCCAAGTAGCTGGGATTACGGGCATGTGTTATCATGCCTGGTTTATGCAAATTTAGACTAGCATTATTCAATTAAAAATTATTTCCAAGTGTTTAGAGCATCCTTACTCCAATTATGTTTAATTGTTAGCACATAAGAAACCTACTGAAAACTTGGTGATATTTCACCTTTATGGAGTGGCTATTCAAGACTTTTAATGACCCAAGCCTTGTATGCACATATGAATAATAAAATTAAAAAAAAGACTTTTAAAGGTGACAAGGGCTATGAATGAGTGCCCCATGAGGCCCTTGATCCTGTTCAATGACATGGCTTAAGGCAAGACTGTCGTGAGTGTATTACCTCTTTTTGCTGATCAGTTGACTACCACTGCCTCTAATTGCAAACACAGTGTGTGCGGATTCACACACTCAATCTCAGCAGCTCGTAGCCCTCTGGCCCTGCGGGGATGTCCTTTCTTCTTCCAAGATATCAGTGCTTATATAGTGAGAAATTCGATTCAATGCAAATTAATTTGGTATATTTCAAATTAAGAATTAGTGCAAGGCACTCTAATGAAATAGATTACATTCATTCCTCTAATAATAAAGAGACATCAAGGGCCTGCCTGTCATGTGTTGGGCTCTACATTCATCCGAAGAATGCAGTTAAGAAGAAGGCAGCTCCACCCTCTTGCATTCTTAGGTCCTGTCTAGGGTTGGTACCAATGTGTGGGGTGATATAAAGAAAGGGTGTAGAAGGGTAAGTATAATGGAAATATTATATAGTCATGTATGAAAATGGAAAAATGAGACCTGCTGAAACTATTCCAGGGATGAGGGGGAGATAAGGGAAAATGATGGATGAGGTGAACTTAAGATATACTGTAAGCACTTTTGTAAATGTCACAATGTACCCCCAGTATAGTAATAATATGATAATAAAAATTAAAAAAAAAGCTTGTGCATATATATTAGAAAAGGGGGAAATGTAAAGGAGAGAAACTTGCAAGTGTTCCTCGTTTCTGGAGTGAGCAACTTGAAACACCAATCATTGAGAGGGAAATTCAAGAGAGAGACTTAATCACCTGCAGAAGTTGATGGGAAGGTGCATCTCCAGGCAGGAGGAGATGGAACAAAGCAGGCTTATGTTTTGAATGGTGACCAGGAAATTGGGAGGTCAAGTGTGGTAGGCATATTTTCAACAGGTCCCTAGAAGCCAGAGGGCAACAGGGTTCCACAGAATTTTCTGGAGGTGTGGTAAGAAAGTGGACATAATGGATACTCTCCTCCTCAGTTGTCCTAAATCGAAGCCTGTCACACTCACAAGGTTTCACTCTACCCACCAGGAAAATCCTCAACCAGCTGTCAAACCTCTGCTTAATGGCACTGGACTGCCCACGCTCACTGGGCTACAGAGGGAAACCTCTGATACAAAGAGACCAAGATAAAGAAGAAGACAAAGTGACTACAGACAAAATAAGAATTCAAGGGCCAAAAAGGCTTTAGAAACTTTAAATAAGATGCTTAGTGAAAGTAAAAGAGGTAGTCTACACATATAAACAAAAATGCCTTATTATGAAAAAGAACAGTTAGAAAACAAGAAATCTATTAAAATTACACATGATTAAGAAAAGTAATAGCTGGCTGTGATGGTGGGCACCTGTAATCCCAGCACTGGGAAGGCTGAGGAAGGAGAATCATGAGTTAAAAGCCAGCCTGCAGTACATAGTGAGACCCAGGCTCAAAAAGCAAAAACAAACAAAAATCCCTCAGTACCCATAAAATACCCAACACAATGGGAGGCGAGAATTCTACCACTGAACCACCAATGCCCCAAAGTACCCAACACAATGAAAGAAAAAGGACAATGGCAAGTGCATTATCATGGCATTTCAGGACCTTTTGGAAAAAGATTTTAAAAGGGGATAAAAGTCCTCCACGAAGAAACAAAAATCAAAATAACATTTGAATTCTCAACAGCAAAATGGGCTAAGAGCTGAGCAATGCCTTCTTATTTAAAGGAAAATTACTTTTACTCCAGAATTCTATTTCTGGCCAAACTATGAATTGATTGTGATGCTGGAATAAAGATATCTTCATCAATCTTCCTAAGAAGCTGCTTGAAATGTGTTCCAGAAAAGTAAGGGCATAAACTAGGAGAAGGCTTGTGCAAAAACCAAGAGGAAAATATGCCAGCCAGGAGGGCCATTGATGCACGTCACAGAATGCTTCGTGAAGAGTGATATAATTTGTGATGAAGTGGTATGGGATGTTAGAGAGCTAACCACCACCCACCATAGTGGCATAGTGCTAAATCAGACGTCAGTGAGAGTGTAACCAGGAGTTCTAATTCCAGGTGTTCTGCATGTTAAGTCCAGCCACTCACCCCAAGATGTGAAATATAAAGAGATGAGTATTGGTGAAGGGCAGAAATAGGAGGTTTGTTACATGCACAGGCATAGGGTGGGAAGAAGCAAAGAAAGCACTTTGGCCCATCTTCAGGATGTAGACATGAGCTGTGGGTTTCAACAGAGAGAGAATTGGGAAGGGTGGGATGGGGGGAGGTTTGCATAGTGATTTAGCAGTCCAGTCACAGGTGTGGTCCAGTGGCCAGAGGTGGTCCAGTTGCTCCTTATCTCAGGTTTGGTCAGGCAGGGCCTTGTTACAATAAGAGAGTCATTGATGTTAGTGGGCAGTCCATCCTGCACAGGTTCAGCTGTTCCTTTCCTTGGGGGCAGTTCCCATTATAAAGATGTTTTTGATCAGTCCTGTCCTTCCTGGATCCCAAGGTGATGATGGAAGAGAGAGACTCAGAGGAAAAGAGACAGATGCAAAACAGAGGCAGGGATGCCAAGCTTTCTCCTGCTTTTAGTTAACTTATGCATCCAAATAGGAAGTTGGTGATTTTCAGCAAAGCACTTTCAAAGTCCCTGTTAACATAAGCAACACACTAAGAGATATGAATGTAAAAGAGCTATAAGTTGTTGAATTGGGGGAGTGTAAATGACAAAGAATGATACAACAGATTTCATTACAAGCTTTTTAGTGCATGTGGGTTTTTAAAACATATGATAAAAATGCTATATTTATTAAAAATTAAGAAAGTACTATAGTCTACTGATATATACATAATGATGTATGCTTTGGCAAGGTGGAAAAAGACCTCTGTGTAAAGATATCCATTGCCCAAATGTTTGTAAGAGCAAAAGCACTGTTAACCTTTGAAATCTAAATATTCATCATTAGCTGAGCAGTTAAATAAATCATAGGACCATAGACATTTAAAAACTGAGTTATCGTCCTACACGCCAATACAGAAAGCTATATCGCTCCCTGAAAAAGAGCATTGTAAAAGACATGTGTGCAAGGGTGCAATTCTCTATTCATAGAAAACTGGAAGCTTACAAAGGTAACTGTTAGCCATTTCCTCTGGGAAGTAGGACCAATGGCCTGGGAAAAAACAGAGACTTATTCATTGTGGGCACTTTTTTATTATCACTCCATTTATTTTTTAAATGAAAAACTTGCTAATATGAATTTGTTAATCAGTACATTGGAAAGGAGTCAATGGGTAACCACATTAAGGTGAGAGTGGGGAGGCTTGGCAGGCAGGGGGATGGTGGCCACTACAAATACTTCCTTCCCCCTGGGCTTTCCAGTGCAAGTTCAAGGTCCTCTGAAGCACAGTGAGTGGGGGGATGGGTTGGGCAGGAGTATAATTCTTTCTGTTTCTTTGTTTCCAACATCTAGGCCCTGTCCCAATAATTCTACATGTGACCACACCAAAATGAATCCTGACTATGGTTATACGAATTTTGACAACTTTGGCTGGTCTTTTCTTGCCATGTTCCGACTTATGACCCAAGATTCCTGGGAAAAACTTTATCGACAGGTTATCTCCTTCTAGACTCTCCTTCCTTCTTCCTTGCCTCCTCCTTATTACTTATCTATTTATTATTGATTTAAAACCTACCGTCTCCCACTTTTGCCATTCATTCTTCATCTTTAATAGCTGTTCTGTTACATAGCTGCTTTAGAAACTCTTTTAGAAACTTTAATAAAATTATATATGTGATATTTGAAAGAAGAATGAAAAAAAAAAATCCCTCTTCTCCCTACAAATATTATCCCTCTTCAGATTCCCTCCTGCCTGAAGTTCTACTACTAACAGTACCTCTTGGACTGTTTTTATGCTACAAATGTAAATATCACGAAAAGTCATAGATAGTAAAGTCAGAGACTTCCACATGAGTGTGTGGAGGGCATCTCTCCACTTCAGGACAGGTCAAGAGTCCCTGGGTGGCTGGGGAGATGAAGGAAGATGCTGCAGGCAGCCACATGAGCCAGTACTGGGCAAGACCAATCTGAGAGCAGATCACGGTGCTGGAAGCAATAGTGTCTACTCTGTGGAGGAGGCTTCCGATGCAAACATGTGTTCTGTCCCTTGCAGACCCTGCGTACCTCTGGGCTCTACTCTGTCTTCTTCTTTGTGGTGGTCATCTTCCTTGGATCTTTCTACTTGATGAACTTGACCTTGGCTGTTGTCACCATGGCTTACGAGGAGCAGAACAGGAATGTAGCAGCAGAGACAGAGGCCAAGGAAAAGATGTTTCAGGAAGCCCAACAGCTGTTAAAGGAGGAGAAAGAGGTACAGGCATATGGGGTTAGGCAGCGGGATCCACTTAGAAGGGTAAGAGGGACCACAGAGGCACTATAAGTGAAGACTTGAGGCTGCCTCCTGGGACCTGGTCTCAGCCCTTTCTCTAGTTCTGCTTTTCTGAGAATTTAAGCCCCTTGCAGGCTGGCTATGCTGTTACTCTCACAGTTGTCCAGGCACGGACTCTTCAGAACAAGGAATCCTTGGTCTTGATTCTCTTTGATCAAACTACAAATTAAAAGATATAATTTATGTATATGTGAATCCAGGCTCTGTTCCAGGAGTTGTGGAAATTTGGCAGTGTTTTTGTTCAGAGACTTTGCTTAAAGGTGGGAGGGTGCTAGAACCACAGATTATTATTTCTCCTTTCCTGAAATCACTGTCATATTTGTAGTCTATTCTGTTTCCTCTGGCAGCTTTACACTTATAAGTTCAGTTCTAAGAGTTTCACAGCAGGAACCATGTTTTATACTCCTTTTCATCCTCTGCAGAAGGATGGAGGTCCATGGCAAAAGCTTTACTGAGTTCCTAGGACACTGGGCCAAGGCTACTGTACAGAGATAGGAAAGAGTCAGTCCTGACACCGACAACTGCAGTGTCTGTACAGAATAGGACATGGTCCCCCAGACAACTAATGACACAGTAAGCACATTCCAGTCAGGTGATAAGCAATCTAAGTGGTACAGTGCTACCACGAGAGAGGAGGATGTGCTAGCTAAGGTCATGTGTAGTGTTTTACCGGAAAGTGTTTTCTGTTCATTAATTGCTTTTGTTCATTTTCTAAGGCCCTGGTTGCTATGGGAATTGACAGAAGTTCACTTAATTCCCTTCAAGCATCATCTTTTTCCCCAAAGAAGAGAAAATTCTTTGGTAATAAGAAAAGGAGGTCCTTCTTTTTGGGAGAGTCTGGAAAAGACCAATCTCCAGGATCAGATTCTGATGATGATTGCTCAAAAAAGGTACATCTTGTCCAAGGGATTAATGGTACCATCACGCTGTTGGGGGGGCAGCTGTTCAAGGCCCTGCACTAGGTGTCCCCAATTTATCTTTGTAAACTCACCTCTTACTTCTGTTCTTTGCAATCATTGTTTCCAAATTAAACATTTTATTGCTTTCATACCAGGAGTTTACTTTTACAAATTCAAAATTTTGTTTGCTCTTTGTTGACAACTAATAAAACACAGAGAGTGTAAAATTTCTGTAGGTAGGATACTAGAAATGTTCCATGAATTTGAAATATGAATCAGGCTGGGAGTGTAGCTCAAGTGGTATAGCAAGTACAAGGGCCTGAGTTCAAATCCCATTACTACAGAAAAGGAAAGAAGAGAAAAAAGAAAGGAAGGAAGAAACATTAATGACCAAAATATTTCTCTGTTCTATTAAATATGGAATAAGAAAACCAAACATTTGTGTGCTGTGATGAAGTGAGTCAACCTGTATGCCATGTCAAGCACCTTCATTGCATGTGACATTGAAACAAAGTAGTTTGTGAAATTTGAGGAGAGGCAACTCCTGCCTGTGAAAGGTCCACCATGTCTTCTCTTGCAGTCACAACTTCTGCAGCAAACTAAGCGACTGTCCCAGACTTTGCCAGTGGACCTCTTTGATGAGCACATAGACCCTTTCCAAAGGCAGAGGGCGCTGAGTGCCGTTAGCATCCTCACCATCACCATGCAGGGTAAGTTCTTCCCCCTAGTCCAAGAGAAAGAATAACTTCCTTTCCCAGTCCTCAGGAGCCCTTCACAAAGGAGGCTTCTTGGGGACCAAGAATGGTGAAGTCCCATTGTGCAGAGTAACTTCCATGCCTCTTTGAAGTGTGTAAACAAAGTGGCTTGGAAGAAGTCGGTCCTCATGAGCTGGGTGCTACTCTGAGCAGACTCTAGGTAGTGGTTTGAACTGGATAGATGTAGGATTAGAATTTGGACCAAGAGCATAGACAGAGTCTCACAAGCAGGCCAGGGAGTGACAGTAATCAAAGAAGAGAACACTTAAGACTCTTCAGGAAGTAGTGGTCATTATCAAAGTTAGAGTGGGGAATCTGGCATGGGCAGTAAAGATCTATGTAGACCATCTGATGACCATGATTAGCAGCAGGTAATAGAGCTTCATTGAAGAGGCTGGTGCTCAAGTCCCTGCAAGGATGGGATCAGATGAGTCCCTTATCACTTTGAGCCTCATTTGGTCTGCATGAGTTCCTAATGGTGCCAGAAAAGTCTGGGGCATGGCTGCCTAGTGGCCTGAACTCAAGCAGCTCATAGAATACCTTTTAGTGTGCCAGTGTGAGGACCTGACTCTTTCCTTCCTCTCTGCCCTGCTACTCCCCTGCTACTCCCCTGTGCCACTGTTATAGTCATCACTATGGTCTCTCTCTTTCTCTCTCTCTCTCCCTGGTTCACAGCCCTGGATTGCTCAATGAAAGTGTAAGACTATGCACAATACTACTGTATGTGTGTAGTGCATGACTATACCACATGCTAGTTGTATGTGAGAACTCATCTCTTCTGCACTGTGATTGGCAGAAAAACTTTTCTGGCTACATAAGTCAATGCCCTTGTACCGATTATATAGCAAAAGAGATCCTAGAGAAGAGGGAGAGGGGAATGCCTTCAAGCAAAGAACAGCCGTGAACTCCTCAATCACTCTTTCATTCTCTTCCAGAAAAGGAAAAATCACAGGAGCCTTGTCTCCCGTGTGGGGAAAACCTGGCATCAAAATACCTTGTGTGGGACTGTAGCCCCCAGTGGCTATGCATTAAGAAGGCCCTGAGAACCATGATGACCGACCCCTTTACTGAACTGGCCATCACCATTTGCATCATAACCAATACTGTCTTCTTGGCCATGGAGCATCACCATATGAACGAGGATCTTCAGACCATATTGAAAACAGGGAATTGGGTAATTTCAGACTCTTGTTGAATTTTGAGTTATAATTCTTTCAGAGTCTCAGCATTTCATGAGTGATGTAACCTAAACTAGATCTTTGGTCCCTGTAAGTGGAATAGAGGGAAAAGATGACTGTTACGATTCGATTTTTCACTAGGTTCCTCTCACTAGTTATCCATGGGCGCTGGGTTGGCCTTTAGAGTGTTAAAGTTTTAATCATCCAGTGGTAAGCTAGAAACAAGTGGAAATCCTGAAAGTTCAACTATTTGGGATAATCAGGAACATGTGAACCATAACCACAGCAGGGAATTTGGAAGCCAGAAGGGACAATGTTGTTTTCCAGGTACAGGGTCAGGAAGCATGCAGAGGTGTCCATGTTGCTTGTGCGTCTCCTCTATGTGCCCCATGCCCTAGATAGATGCAACAGAACAACAGTGGCCACCTCATGTGCTGCCCTCACTGTGGTCATGGTGCGGGGAGGCCCTGGAGTCTTGAGTTTCAGAAAACACATTCAAACCAACTCCTCTGATGCCTACCTTTTTATTTTTAACCTGTGCCATTTTATTTTAGGCATATTTTTCATAAGTAGTAAACCATAGCATTATTTATAAGAACAGGTAATCTGATAATTTTTTAAAAAGTGGTACTAGGGATTGAACTCAGGGCCTCACGCTTGGTAGGCAAGTGGCCTACCCCTCGAGCCATGCCCCAGCCCCTTTGGCTTAGTTATTTTTCAGACAGGATCTAGCATTTTTCACTTGGGCGAGCCTTGACCATGATCCTCCTACTTATGCATCCTGCATAGCTGGGATTAGAGGCATGAGCCTGGCCTCCCTTGGACTGCTCTTAAACATGCATCTCCAAAGGACAGGTAGCTTCCTTTTCTCATTCTTCTTTGTCCCATTTTAGGTGTTTACTGGCATTTTTATAGCAGAAATGTGCCTAAAAATCATTGCACTTGATCCCTACCACTATTTTCGTCATGGCTGGAACATTTTTGACAGCATTGTTGCTCTTCTGAGCTTTGCAGATGTGATGAACAGTGTATCTGATCAAAGTTGGTCATTCTTACGTTCCTTTAGAGTGGTAAGTCACTTTCTTATTTCTCTGCATAACTAAGCTCCCCAAATTGAAGAGTCTTGAGTGAGTTGAATGACTATCTTAGCTAAGGCTTAGTTCATCTTACCCTAAACCTGGAACACAATGTGCACTCATCTTCCTCCCACTTGGGTGTTAAATACCTTAGAAATCTTAGGAAAGCTTCCTCTTTCAACTGAACCCCTACACCATTCCCCTACGAAGATGACCCTTTAGGAAACTGGACGCCTCTAGTGTTGGGACTCTAGTGTTGTGTCCTCCATTGTTGGGACTCTGTTCCTTGCCTTGAGCTCATCAAAGGGAGTGAAGACTACAAGCCCAGGAGAGGGATGCCTAAGGCCAGCAGGTGCTGTCTCACAGAGCCCCTTCTCACTACTGCCAGGACTACATTCCTGGTCTGCAATCTTTGTCCTCTACCCACCAATCTTAGGCATTCCTCAAGCTTTTGCAGAGTTCCTATAGGAGCTGACATGAGGGGAAGCCCAGCAATCAGGAAATCCCTGTCTTCTAGGAGTTTCAGGAAATCAGTCTTCTAGCTCGTAGAAGAAGGCTAGAAAAGACTATGATGTGCAATAGAGCACGAGAAAATCCAGTACAGCTATAAGTAAAAAACTACAGCAGAATCACATCCAAGAGGGGATCTGGGACATCTACAAAGTGCTCTTTTAGTCTGTTTTCCATTGCTATAATAGAATACACAAGACCGCATACATTATTAATAATAGAAGTTTATTTTGCTTATGATTCTAGACCCCAAGATTGATAGGCTAGACTGTATGTGGTAAGGGCATGGTAAGAGAACTCACATAAGACCCAGAAAAGGGGCCCAACTTTATCCTTTTATTAGGAAACCACTGCCATAATAATCTCTACCCCCCCACACACAGCATTCATGAGAGCAAAGCCTTCATGGTCCAGTTGCTTCTTAAAGGCACCACCTCTAAATCCTATCACAGTGGCAATAAATTTCAACAGGCATTTTGGAGGATTTTGGAGGGGACATTCCAACCACAGTACCAAGTCCCAGCCCCCGCCCCAATTCATGTTCTTTTCACATATAAAATAGGTTCGTTTCAATAGCCCCAAAGTCTTTTTCTTTCTTTCTCTGTTTCTCACTTTCTCTGTTTCTCTCTCTCTCTCTCTCTCTCTCTCTCTCTCTCTCTCTTTGTTTTCTTTGCTGTACTGGAGTTTGAACTCAGGGCCTGCACCAGCCCTGTTTTGTGAGGGTTTTTTTCAAGACAGGGTCTCGCAAACTGTTTGCCAGGCTAGCTTCAAACCATGATGCTCCTGATCTCTTCCTCCTGGCTGTAAGCCACTGGTACCTGGCTCTTCCTTTCTTATTTTTATTCTTTTAAAAATTTATTTTAATTGACACATAACATTTTCTCCATGTTTATGGTTACCATGCTATGTTTCAGTGCGTGTGTACACTGTGTGATGCTCAAAGCAGGGTGCTTACACCATGATTCAAATATCTCATTTTTTGTGCTGAAATTACTCAAAATCCTTTCTTCTACTTTTTCTTCAACTATACAGTGCATTATAGTAATCTACAGACATTATGCTGTGCAGAATTCCAGAATTTATTTCTCCCATAATTTTATCACCCATTGGTCAACCTTTCCTCATCTGCTCTTCATCACACCTTCCTCTCTCTACTCGCTCTAGCCTCTAGTATCCACCATTTCACTCTCAACTTCTTTTATCTCTCTTTAGTGGTATTGCAGTTTGAACTCAGGGCCTCACACTTGCTAGGCAAGCATTCTGTCACTTGAGCCACACCTCCAGTCCTCAACTTCTTAGATGAACTAAGAAGTTTTAGACTCCACATTTGAGTAAGATCATGTGATATTTATCTTTCTGTACCAGACTTATTTTATTTATAATGACTCCTATTTCATCCATGTTGTCATAAATGAAAGGATTCCAACTTTTTATGGCTAAATAATATTCTGTTGTGTGCAGACACACATCACATTTTCTTTACCCATTCACCAAGTGATAGATACCTGTGTTGTTTCCATGTCTTGGCTTTTGTGAATTCTGCTGTAGTAAATCAATTCAGCACACTGACTTTCTTTCCTTTGGGTATATACTCAGCAGTGGGGTTGCTGGATTATATGGTAGTTCTGTTTCTAGTGTCTTGAGGGACTTCCATTCTGTTTACCAGTAATGGCTGTAATACTTTACATTCTGCCAGCAGTGTACAGGGCTCGCTTTTCTCCACGTCTTCTCTAGCACTTGTTATCTTTTGTCTTTTTGATAACAGCCATTCTACCTGAGGTGAGGCAAAAGATAACTCATAGTGATTTTGACTTACATTTCCCTGATGATTAGTGATGTTGAGCATTTTTTCACATACACATTGGTCATTTGCATGTCTTCTTTTGAGAAATATTTATTAGGAGTATTGCCCATTTAAAAATCAGGTTTTTTGCTGTTGAGTTTTTTGAGTTCTTCACATGTTCTGGGTATTTTCCTCTTGTCAGATACACAGCTTGTAAATATTTGCTCCTATCCTGTAGGTGGTTTCTTCACTCTATTGATGGTTTCCCTTCTGTGTAGGAGTTTTTATTTTGATTCACTCCTGTTTGTTCCTTTTTGCTTTTGTTTCCTCTGTCATTGGAGTCTGGTGAAAAAACAGTCTTTGCCTAGTTCAATGTCCTAAAGTGTCTTCTGTTTTCTTCTAGTAGTTTTATAATTTGAGGTCTTATATTTAAGTCTTTAATATAGTTTGGGTGATTGGTTTTTGTCTGTGGTTGGTTTTTTTTTTTTTTGAGACAGGGTCTCACTATGTAGCCCAGGCTGGCCTCATACTCATGAGCCTCTGGCCTCAACCTCCTGAGTGTTGGGATTGCAGATATAATGCACCGATCCTGGTGATGTCTTTTGTTTTATGACTTTTGCATAAAATAAGAGGTATGAGTCTAGTTTCATTCTTTTGCATATGGATATCCAATTTTCTTGGCACCATTTATAAAAAAGATTATCCTTTCCTCAATGTGTGTTTTTTGTAGCTTTGTTGAAGATCAATTGGCTATAGATGCCTCGTTTTACTTCTAAGTTCTCAATTCTGTTCCATTGGTCTACGTGTATGTTTTTATGCCAATATCTTGCTTTTTGGGTTGCTATAACTTTGTAGTATATTTTATAGTATAACATCTTAACTTGGGTATTATACCTCTTGCTTTGTTCTTTTTGCTCAGGATTGCTTGTCTATTTGAGGTCCTTTGTGATTCCATACAAATTTTAGGATTTTTTTTCTAGTTCTATGAGTAATATAATTGGTATTTTGAATCTGTAGATTATTTTGGGTTGTTTGTTTTCTTTCTTTTTTCTTTTTTGGCAATACCGAGGTTTGAACCCAGGGCCTCATGCTTGCTAGGTAAGAACTCTACCACTTGAGCCACTCCACCAGCTCTGGGTTGTATGCACATTTTAACAGTATTGATTCTTCCAATTTGTGAATGTAGAATATCTTTCCATTTTTCAATTTTTATCTTTCCATTTTCAATTTTTTCACCAATGGCTTTTGATTTAGATTGTAGAAATATTTTACCCTTTTGGTTAAATTTATTTGTAGGTATTTATTTATTGTAGCTATTGTATAGAATTGCTTTCTCAATTTCTTTTTCAGATAATTTGCTACTGGTATATAGAAACACTACTGATTTTCATATCTTGCAACTTTTTTTTTTGGTGGTAATGGGGTTTGAACTCATGGCCTTGTGCTTTCTAAGCAGGTACTCTACCACCTGTGCTATGCCCCAACCCTTTTTGCTTTCATTCTTTTTGAGATAGGGCTTCACATTTATGCCCTAGCCAGCCTGGACCATGGTCCTATTTATGCTTCCCACATACCTGGGATAACAGGCACATGCCACCATGCCCAGTTTTTATTGGTTGAGGGGGGTCTTGTGAACTTTATTGCCCAGGCAGGCCTCAATATCCACCTCCTGAGTAGCTATTATTACCGCATGAGCTACTGTTCCCAGTTGTATACTGAAACTTTTTATTAGTTCTAATAGTTTTTAGGTGGAGTCTTTTCAGGTGGGGATTTCTATGTATACTCTGTAAGATGTCCGTGACATCTTAGCTTCTTCCTTTCCAATTTGGATGTCTTTTATTTCTTTCTCTCACCTATTGTCTTGGCTAGGACTTAACTATGTTGTATAAAAGTGATGAGAGTGGGCATCCTTGCCTGGTTCTAGATCTTAGGGGGTATCCTTTGCCTTTTCCCCTATCAGAATGATGTTGATGGTGGGTTTGTCAAATACAGCCATTGTGTTGAGGATTGTTCCTCGTTTGCCTAATCTGTTTAGAGTTTTTATCCTGAAGAGATGCTGATTTTATTGAATGTGTTTTCTTCATCTGTTGAGATGAGTATATGGTTTGATATCTTCATCCTATTGATGTGGTGTATCACATTTTTCAATTCGAGTACATTGAACCATCTCCAGGGTGAATCCCACTTTATCATGTTGAATAATATTTTGAATGTGCTTTTAGATTTGGTTTGATAGTATTTTGTTGAGGATTTTTGCATCTATGTTCATCAGGAAAAGTGGCCTATAACTTTCTTTTTTTGTGTGTCTTTGTCTAGCTTTTAGGAAATGCTGGTCTTTAAAAAAATTTTTTTTTTGAAATGCCAGCCTTATAGAATGAATTTGAAAGAATTTCATCCTCATTTTTTTGGTATTATTTGAGAAGGATCAGCATTAATTCATGTTAGTTTTTCTTTAATCTTAACTCTTCCAGTATCAACTCGGAGTCCAAAGGCCAGTCTTACACATGAGTGGGACTCAGGCAGACCCATCCTGAGACAAATGGCCTCCAACTGAGTCTGCAAAATCAAATGAGTTATTTACTTCCAAAACACAATGGTGAGGGCTGGGGGTGTGACTCAAGTAGTAGAGTGTCTGCCTAGCAAGCATGAGGGTCCTCAATTCAATCCCCAGTACTGCCAGAAATAAGCAATGATGCATTAATATGGTCAACAGAAAAAGCATAAAAATAAATTAGCATTAAAAAAGCAAAATGGTGGGATAGGCATCAGACAGACATTTCCATTTCAAAAGGAAGAGGGCTGGGGGCATGGCTCAAGTGGCCTGCCTTGAAGTCCTGAGTTCAAACTCCAGTATCCCCAAATAAAAGTTGGAGGAGAAATAGGTGAGAAGAAAAGGGTAATGGGTCCCAAATAGTCTAGAACCCAATAAGGTAAACAATATAAACTTTTTTTTTCTAATTCTTTTTTTTTTAATTGAGGTTTGAACTTAGGTCCTCATACTTGCTAGGCATGTGCTCTACCATTTGAGCTACCCCTCCTCCAGCTTTTTTTCTAATTCTTGAACATGATTTGTTTTACCATTTCTCTAGACAAATCCTGTAAAGATAATTTTTTTTCAGATGTTTTTCCTTTATTATTGTGATGCATGGGGGTACATTGTGCCATTTACACAGGTATTGCAATGTGTCAAATATATCATACATGAATTCACCCCCTCAATCATTCTCCTTCATCCCTCCCCTCTCCAAGTTCCTGGAGTAGTTTCAATAGGTATCATTTTTGCATTTACTTACATGTGTACACATTTTATCGCACCATACTCACCCTCCTACCCACTTTCCTGAACACCTTCCTCCTCCCACTGGTACCACCCCTCCCCTGGGGGCAGGGCTTGTTCTGCCCTCCTGTTCTTTGATTTTGTAGGATTTTTTTTTGAGACAGAGTCTTGCGATGCAGTCTGGCTTTGAGCTCAGGGCTACATGATTGCAAATTAGTGCTCTACAGGCCACACCTGCAGTCCATTTTGCTCTGGTTATTTTGGAGGTGGGGTCTTGCAAACTATTTGCCCAGGTTGTCCTTGAACTGTGATCCTGCTGATCTCAGCCTCCCAAGTAGCTAGGATTACAGGCATGAGCCACCAGCTCTGCCTTGGTCTCCTGAGGGCTGAAATTACAGGCACATACCACTATGTTTGGTTTAGGGAAGGGATTTTTTTTTTTTTTTTTTTTTGGTGGTACTGGGATTCGAGCTCAGGGCCTCATGCTTGCTAGACAGACTTTCTACCCCTTGAGCCACTCTTCCAGCCCAACATCAACTCTAAAAGCAAAGAATAATCTTCACTGACTCCATGTCTGACATCCTAGACACTGGAATAAGGAGGCTTCCAGAGCTCTGGAGCACCCATCCCCATGGCTTGACTAAATTTAGCCCAGGCAGCAGTTCTCCTAGGCTTAGATTGAACATTCATAGTTACAGGTTTTTTGAGGCAGGGAGGTGTCTCAAGGGCAACCACACCTCTGTGACGAGGCATTGCCCTCGTAGGATCTTGGTATTAGCTCCACTCCTGTGACAATCTCTGCCTGGTTGATGCACAGATGACACGCACAGGAATTTCAGGTGCTCAGGGTTCTTGAGCCTGCTCTGAGAATGAAAGCACAGACAGACTCTAACCGCAGAGGTCGGAAAGATTTTATTTGTAGAGAATTTAGTTGGAGAAAAGAGAAGAGAAAGACTGCATATTGGAGAATGCAGGGGGACCCGGAAACCAGTGATCCCATGGGCCAGGGTAGGGAGTGGGGTTTTATAGCCTATTTTTGCATTGCCTGATGGCAGGAGATGCCTTTCAGATGCAAACAGGCATTTCCTAAGGAGGAGAAGTGTCTCCTTGACCACTTATTGCCTTTTGGGACCTCCTGCAGTCCATCCTTCAGTCCTTCATAGTCACCCATGCTGTGCCCCTACAACTCTTGCATTCTGTGTGCCTGCAGAATTAGTCCCATGCAGACACCACCTTCTAGAGTGCAGGCATAAGCCACACCTGGGCCTGCTTAAGCCATGGCTAGAGTAACCGAGAAGCAGTTCACCTGAATGAAGGGAGCAGAGACCCTATGTAGCTCTGGGCAATGAGTCCCTTCTGACCCCAAGGTCCTTTCTCCCATTGTGTTGATGGATAGCTTCCTTCTTTCCACATAAAACTGTTTAGCAAATGGTTGCTTGGTCACACTCTTAATATTCTCTCCAAAACATACTTTTTGACTCTTTACAAGATTAGGCTGCAAATTTTCCAAACCTTTCTGATCTGCTTTAATCCTTTTAATTACACATTCTGCCTTTAAGTCTTTCCTTCAGCACCTCACAGCATGCAGTTAAAAGTAGCCACAAGGCTACTGCTGCTTAGATATTTCTTCTACCAGATATCCTGGTTCATTTCTCTTAAGTTCTGCATGTCTTAGACTGAGGACCCAATTCTGCTAAGTTCTTGGCAACTGTATAACATGGATGGCCTTTATTCTAGTTCCCAATGTCTTATCCTCATTTCTGTATGAGACCTCACAGTGTGACTTACTGTTCATATTTCCACCAGCATTCTGGTTGTGATCCCTTAAGTTATCTCAAGATCAGACTGTCTCAACATCTCTCTTCCTCTGAACCCTCACTGGAGCCACACTTGTTGCTCCTTTCATGGAAATCTAGACTTTTCTATCATTCTCCTCCTGATTCTTACAGCTCACACCCATTAGTCAGTGCCAAAGCAAGGTCCATGTTTTCAGGTGTTCCTTATAGTAATAGTCCCATTCTCAGTACCAACTTTTCTGCCTTAGTCCATTTCCTGATATCATAGATAATTATCAAAGGGTAAGTTCATTTGACTTTCAGTCCTAGAGGCTGGCGAGTCCAAGAGCATGCACCAACATCTGGTGAGAACCTTCGCACAGCATCATAAAATGGCAGGAAGGACAAGCACGCACACAAGCCTTTTATCTGAGACTCTTCCTGCCATAGCTAACCCACTCCCACAGTAATGGCAATAATCTGTGCATGAAGGCAGAGCCTCCCATGACCTAATCACCTCTTAAAAGTCCCACCTATTAAGTGGCAATTAAATTTCTACATGAATTGTGTGTGGGGGGGGGAACATTCAAACCATAAAAACTTGAAAGAGGACAACTCTTTCAAATTTCAAAGATACTTAACTTTTTTCTTGAGTGGAAAGGATTCCTAGGCTGTAGAGTAAGACACTTGGCTCAGTTATCTAAGTGTGCATTTTATGCTTTATAATATTACATATATAATATGTAATAAAATAATTTTGTATTAAAAGGCTACACTGCTCAACATTAGGTATTATTAGGCTGCTCTACTAATATATTATTGGTGCTTGGGTGAAAAAAGTTACATTTGCTTCACCATTGTTGAGGCACATTACAGCCATACTCTCAGATGAGGAAGTTTTTGGCATCTGCATGTGACAGGACAACCACAGTTTCTCAGGGGATATGCCAACTCCCCTTTGAGTAGACAATCGTAATCCTTCTCTTTGGGTGTAAGTCTTCCTGGTTTTCAGTTTCCATCTCCCTGTGCTTTGGAGTGAAACCATCAGTTTGAAGAGGAAGATAGCCTTGAAACAGGGTTGTAAAACATGGTAAACTGTCAATTAAAAGCTGTAACCTCGGACAGAGCTGTGAGGAATTGCCCATTAGAGCCAAGCAAAAGTTTGGGACCGAGATGAAAGGCACCATGCAGAGATAAGCACCCATTCCTGCCTTCCTTTGTCTCCACTTGTAAATAAACTTTCCAAAGCAGGCCTCCCCTGCTGTTCTTATCTAAACTTTAGGTCTCTAACCCACTACTGGCCCTACTTTATGGGAGAGCACATTCCTTGTAACCTGGTACCCTGCACTGCCTTTTAAATATCCTGTGAATCCTTTGTTCAGGGCTCAGACACAGTTGTAAGTCTGGGCCCGCTGACGTAAAATTAAAATCTGAGTTCTCCACTCCTCCGAGTGTCGCTTGGTTTCTCCTCTGACTATATTGCCACAACAAGTTTACATTAAAAGTTAATATAAGGTGTAACCTATGAAAATAGTTGCTGTGTTTTCTCTAAGGTTATTTCCAGGAACTTCTGTGAGGTTGCATAAAAAAAATTTCTCTTTGGAAAAAGTATACCTGTCTAGAATAGGTGCTCACCTAGACTCTCCTGGGTATAAAATGTCATATTTTACTCTCATCATTGTTTTAAGGTTTACATTCAAACTTGTGGCCTGAATTACATAAAGCAGGAAATAGCAAACTTTTTCTGTAAAGGGTCAAATATAGTAAGTTTTCAGCCTTCCAGGTAATTTGGTCTCTCACAACTGTTACACTAGCCATCATAACACAAAAGTAGCCATAGACTTTCAAATACCAATGAACATGGCTTGTTCTGATAAAACTACTTACAGACATTGAAATTTGAACTTCATATGATTTTCGTGTGCCGTGAAACCTTCTTCTTCTGGTTATTTTTTATTATTTTAAATGTAAAAAACTCTTCTCTCAGGTTACACAGAAACAGGCATTGGGCTGGATTTGTCCCCTGGGCCTTTGTTTGATAACATCTGGTACATTATACAGAATTCTAAAACACTCATTTTATATAATAAACATGCACATTCAATCACCACACTGAACCCAAAATTGTTATCATTAGAAAATTAGAATAAATATTTTCATTTTCAATAGCAGGAGATATGGGTGAGCACTGGATTAAAACAGGAAGTTGGTGTGTATGTGCAGGATGGGTTTGCTTAGACAAGAGTTTTTAAAGTTCTAGCACCATGGTTTAGAATGGTCATTTGTTTTGTACATGAGCACCACAGTTTGTCCTTAATTGGCTTTTCTTTCATTTTTGTTTGTCTATTTTTACAGCTGAGGGTCTTCAAGTTAGCCAAATCCTGGCCAACTTTAAACACACTAATTAAGATAATTGGCCACTCTGTCGGCGCTCTCGGAAACCTGACTGTGGTCCTGGCCATCGTGATCTTTATTTTCTCAGTCGTGGGCATGCAGCTTTTTGGCACTAAATTCTGTTCCGTAAAGAGTGCAAACTTCTGCATTGCTGAAGAGTCCTGTGAACGGCGCTGGCACATGGGAGATTTCTACCACTCCTTCCTGGTGGTGTTCCGCATCCTCTGTGGGGAATGGATAGAAAACATGTGGGAGTGTATGAAGGAGGCGGAATCATCTTTGTGTGTCATTGTCTTTGTGTTGATCATGGTGATAGGCAAACTTGTGGTGAGTTTCTCAGATTTTTTTTCCGTAAAGAAGACAAAACATGTCTCTCAAATGCATTTGGTCCTTTTGCAATACTTTGCTTGTGAAAATTGTTATTCTAAATATAATACCAATAAGTCTCACAATCTCCCTTTGAATTTGGTTTGAAGAACGTATAGGAAGCCTGAAACAAAAGCTCCTCGACACGTAGGGTTCATGTTGAACAATGCCCAGTACCTAGTCAATTCAAGATGATTATTCTAAGAAAATCATATTCTCTTGCCAGTGATTAACTATAAGGTAAGGGTTTGTGACTTAATTTGGTCAATAAGATGTAAAGAAATGCCCACTGGGAAAACATGGGAAAGATTTCTTGTTATTGAAAATAAATATGAGAAATTGGTCCTTTTATTTCTTCTGAGCCATTTTATGACTGTGACCCCTGGGGAAGCTGTAAATATTATGAACCAGCCTGAAACAAAGGCAGCACCTGTCTGTATGTCATACTGGGCCCCTGTTCTACTTTCAGACTTCTTGTTATGCTACATATGTTTATGGTGTTTGGTGTCTTGCATCTGTTACTGGCAGCTGAAAGTGTAGATATTTATGGAGAGGCTAACTGGGTTCATATCAGTGAAGATATGAAGAGACAGAAGACACAGGATCTTTGAGCACAAGCTCTTCAGAATCAAGTTAAGACCATCGTACAAATATGTTAACCATCTACACAAGATATCTTTATCCTAGATAGCTAATAAATGGTGGGCATAGCCAGTAAGTGACAAAAAGTTCAGAAGGGCAGCACATCACTAATGGGAGTAGGAAAGGATTTGGAGAAGACATGGTACTTGAAAAGACCTCTGTAGAGGCAAGGAGGACTTAGACAAACAGAGGAGAACTTGAGTGAAAGACCTGGGATGGAATTCCCATAATGAAGCTAAGGACCAGGTCCACATCACTCACACCCAGTGGGTGCTTCTCCCCAAGTTCCTGAGAGCCAGAAACAAGGAATGTGGATATAAAAATGATGAATTGGAAGGTGTAGAATTGTGAGCAAAAAGCTCACATAAGAAGCTCTTAGGACAACCTGAATTTACAGTGATATGTGCTTAAAGGGAGAGTGGCAGATTTGGTCCAAACCCCTGGGGGTTAGCCCTGTTACCTCTTTGAAGTTAGGGCAGCAGGGCTAAAGAGACTGTACCAAGCATACCGTCTCTCACATCGGGCAAACATTAAGGGGTTGCACAGTGGTGTGGCTATCGGATGAGTTCCATGTGGGCATTCTAGCACAAGTCTAAGCTTGTGATTCAGCTGATCCTCGAGTTACATAACCATGTGATGACAACCCCTCTTTGCTTTACCCTGGCCATGGTCGACACATAGTTTTTGGTTCTATTTAGATAAACTGAATTTGAATGTTTGCATCCTTTCACTTCAATTTTTCTCTTGTCTTACTGTCCCTATTCCTTCCTCGATCTTCACATTTTAAACTTTATTTTATAGATGACCATCCTTGTAAGATTACAGGACATAGAAGTCAAATGGACTTTGTCTTGACTCGGGGAAAATTTGTTTTGGACACTCATTGTCCCTTTTCCTTGGCTAAGTTTCTCATGCCCTTTATCGCTCACCCTGCCCTCAGGTGCTGAACCTCTTCATTGCCTTACTGCTCAATTCCTTCAGCCAGGAGGAGAAAAATGGAAACTCAGAAGGAGAAGCCAGGAAAACTAAAGTTCAGTTAGCCATGCAACGGTTCCACTGGGCTTTTTCTTTTCTGATACACACTCTTGAGCATTTCTGTTGCAAGCAGTGCAGGAGGCAAAACTTACCAAAGCAAAATGAGGTAACAGGAAACTCTACTACAGACAGCAAAGACATTATCCCTTTGGTCACAGAGTTGAAAAGGGGATCAGAGCCCTGGGAGGAACTTGATGTGGTGACTCCTTCTGCATGGAGGACTTCAGGCATTGGGCACAATCAGACTCAGTTGGCTCCACTTGCAGAGGAAGAGGATGACACTGAATATCCTGATGAAGACAACACCCTGCCCATCACACGACCTGATGCTGACAAACAGGTATAAAGGTTGTATGTCAACTTAGAGGTATCAGCACTATCATAGGGCATTTGTTGCCTGCATTGATTTGAGCACTGAGCAGAGATGAGAAGGGCATGAAATGTGACAGCTGCCCTTAAACACCATGTACACATTTGAGGGCAAGTTTCAATCATAGTCCTGCACTTGTGACACAGTGGGTCATAAGGAGCAAGATCAGAACAGGCTGGGGCAACAGAAGAAGAAAGTGCCTTTGGTTGAACACTATAAGAAGTGTAGCATGGGGCGGGGCTGAAAAAGTCAGAAAGACTTTTTTTTTTTTTAAGTCAGAAAGTGAAGTGGTTCTCACAGTAAAAGAGACAGTGATGGTAACACAGGGACCAGTCTCAAGGTTGAGAAGTGGTGGGAGATGAAGGCTGTCAGGGACCATGAGATCAATGGATACTGTATAAGTCTGTTCAAGCTGATATAACAAAATACCATGGACCAGGGGGCTTCTAAACAACAGAAATTAATTTCTCACATTCCTAGAGGCTGGGAAATCCAAGATCAAGGTGTCATTGGATTCAGGTCTGACAAGGATCAGTTTTCTGGTCCTTACTATGTCCACTCATGGTAGCATATGAGCACCAGAAGGCAAACCAGCTCTCTTGAGCCTCCTTGAATCCCAGAGCTGCCATGATTTAACACCTCCCAAAGGGCTCACCTCTTTTTAAATTGTTTTTCCCCATTTAAAATAGCATGTACTCATTGTACAGGAGGGGATTCCTGGTGATCATTCCTAATAACCTTACATTATACATTGGTTAGATTGCCCCCATAACTCTCCTAACCCTGCCCTGCAACCCTCTTCCCTGCCCCACTTAAAGCAATTGCAAGAGTTTTCATTGTTCTATTTCATATAGGTATATGAAGTTCATCCACCATATACCCTCATCTTAATCTCCTCCATTTACCCTCCCTCTCCCACAAGTACCCCCCCACACACACACACACACACACACACACTCACTGTACCTATTTTACAGTCCTGTCTTTCATTATTAATTTCAAAGTCAGTGTTCAAAAGGATTTCTTGATGTATCCCCACTGTGAATATGCTTTACTTTGGTCAGTTCAACCCCTTCCATTACTCTCCCTTACCCCTTCCCTCCCACCTCCCATTATCCAACAGTTTTCACCACGTATCATTATATCTTCTTCCTGCACAGATGTAATGTATTTTGATATTGTTGACCATCATTCTCTTTTCTTCATCCTCCTCTGAGTTCCATAGAGTATTTCCACTATTACAAACATGCTCTACATATAAATTTGTATGTGATCATGTTTGTTTTTGTGTGTATGTTTATCTTTTGTATCTATCTTCCACATATGACAGAAAACATGCAGCCTTTGTCTTTCTGAGCCTGGATTCCTTCATGATGTGTATATGTATATATGTAACATTTTCCTGATCCATTCATCAGTTGTAGGGCATCTGGGTTGTTTCTATACCTTGGCTATTGTGAATAGTGCTATAATAAACATGGCTCTTTATTGTAACCTAACTTATACACCTTTGACTACATCTCTAGAAGTTAGAAGTGGTATTGCTGGATCATATGGCAGTTCTATAACGCTTTCCATAATGGTTGTACTAATTTGTGTTCCCACCAACAATAGGTAAGGGCTCCTGTTTTGCTCCATCCTTGACAACATGTTGCTGTTTGTGTTCTTGATGATAGCCATTCTAACTGTGGTAAGATGAAATCTTAGTGTAGTTTTGGTTTGCATTTCTTTTATGGCCAGGGAAGTTGGACACTTCTTCATGTATTTATTGGCCATTTGTACCAATAAAATGTCCTATTTAATTCCTTTGAAAAGTCCTTATTCGATTCATGTGCCCATTTTCTTCATTGGGATGTTGATTCTTTAAGGGTTGAGTTTTTTGAGTTCCCTGTAGATTCTGGATTTTAGTATTTTATCAGGTAAATATCTGGCAAAGATTTTCTTCCATTCTGTGTGCTCTTAATTCTTGTGATTTGTTTCCTTTGCTGTGCAGAAGCTTTTTAGTTTGCTGTAGTCCCATTTGTTCATCCTTTTTGCTGAATCATTGGAGTTCTATTTGAAGCCTATGCCTATATGTTCCAGTATATTTCCTACCATTTCCTGTAGTTATTTTAAAGTTTCAGGCCTTCTATTGAGGTCCTTAATGCACTTCAAGTTGGTATTTTTATGGGGTAAGAGACATGGATCTAGTTTCAGTTTTTTGCATGCAGATACCCAGTTTTCCCAGTAACATTTGTTGAAGAGGCTGTTTTCTCCATGTATTTTTGCCGACTTTGTCAAAAATCAGGTGGGTGTAGCTGCATGGATTTATATCTGGGGCTTCTGTTCTGTTGGTCTTCCTGTCTGTTTTGGTGCCAGTACCATGTTGATTTTATTTCCATGGCACTGTAGTGCAGTTTGAAGTCAAGAATTGTGATGCCTCCAGCATCGCTCTTTTTTGCCCAATGTTGCCTTGGCTATTCAAGGCCTTTTGTATTTCCATATGAACTTTAGGGATGGTTTTTTTGATCTCTGTGATGAATGTCATTGGAATTTTGATGGGGATTGAATTGAACATGTAGATTGCTTTTGGTAATATGGTCATTTTCACAATATTGATCCTACCAATCCAGGAGCATGGGAGATCTTTTCATCTTCTGTAGACTTTCTTTGATTTCTTTCTTTAGTAGTTTATAGTTTTCATTGTAGAGGTCTTTCACTTCCTTTTAACGTTTATTCGGGAGTTTTTTTTTTTTCTTGAGGCTATTGTAAATGGAATTGCTTTCTTATATTCTTTCTTAGTCTGTTCATTGTTGGTATGTGGAAAGGCTACTGATTTTTGTGTACTGATTTTGTATCCTGCTACTTTGCTGAAGGTGTTTCTGATGTTTAGTAGTTTTTTTAGTCTTTTAGGTATAAGATCAGGTCATCTGCAAATAGGAATAGTTTGACTTCTTCCTTTCTTATATGAATTCTTTTTGTTTCTTCTTCCTGTCTTATTGCTCTGGTTAGGAATTCCAGGACTAGGTTGAATAAGAGTGAAGAGAGTGGACACCCTTGTCTCATTCGTGATGTTAGAAGAAGTGGTTTTAGTTTTTTCCCCATTTAGTATGATGTTGGCTATAGGCTTGTCATATATAACCTTTACTATGTTGAGGTACATTCCTTCTATCCTTAGTTTCATCAGAGCTATTGTCATGAAAGGATGTTGAGTTTTGTCAAAGACTTTTTCTGCATCTATTGAAGGCCTCATCTCTTAATAGTATCACCTTGGAGGTTAGGATTTCAGTGCATAAATTTTGGAGGGAAACATTAGACCATAACAGATGCACTAAATAAACTGGGGGCTTGCCTTCGAATGCAACAGAGGCTGCTTGTATATTCCTGTTGCATAGTTTTTCCTTTATGTGTTTGTCTGACTGTGGTATCAAAATGGGTCTCTCAAATGTGGATCTCATTAAATGAGTTGAGAAGTCTTATCCTCTTCTATTTCTGAAACAGTGCAAGTATAATTGGTATTATTTTTTTTTCTAATGTAGATGGAATCCATCAATGAAGCCACCTGTACCTAGAGTTGTCTTTTATGGAATATTTGTGTTACAAATTCAATTTTTAATAGATAAAAGACTAGTTAGGCTTTCTATTTTTTTGTTCTTGTTTGGTTAATTTGTGTGCTTTAGAAATTAGATTATAGAATTTATGGGCATTAAGTTGTTCATAAAATCTTCTTGCTCTTCTTTTAGTGTCTGTAGTGATGTTTCCTCATGCATTAGTAATATTGGTCATTTGTATCTTCTATTCAGTGTATATAGAAGTTTTTCAGTTTTCTTGGTATTTTCAAAGAATTAGCCTTTGGTTTTATTTTTCTTCATTTGTGCATTTCATGGATTTCTGCTTTTTTCTTAAATTTCTTCCATCTACTTACTATGTGTTTAACTTATACTTCTTTGTATGGATTCTGAGAGTCTAAGTTTAAGGTTGGGCAAACTACAACTTACGGGCCAGATCTGGTCTACAGCATTTAAAAAATAATGTTTTATGGAAACACAGTCATGTTCAATTGTTTGCATACTGTCTGTGCTGCTCTAATACCAACGTTTCAGAGTTAAACATTCGTAGCAGAGACCACATGATCTGCAAAGCCTAAAATATTTACTTGTTGGCCCTTTAAGGAAAAGTTTATTGATCCCTGGTTTAGATTACTTTTATTCCTAGAACGTCGATAGGAATATTTTCTCTGCCTTAGATTATTGATTTGAGTCCTTTCTTCTTTTCTATTGCAAGTACATAAAGCACTATTTTACCTGCATTCCCCCTAATTTTGTTATGCTGTGTTATTTTCACTTGAATACAAATATTTTCAAACTTATTTTGTGATTTCTGCATTTCACCATCAGTTATAAATAAGGATATTGCTCAATTTTCAAATAATTAGAGATTTTTCTCCTATCTTTTTGTTATTTATTGAAGTTTAAAGTTTTCTTCCAAAGAATATACTCTGTACATTTAGCATACTTTAAATCTTTTTAAATTTATTGAAACATATTTTGTGGTTTTTGCCTGTTAAATTTTTTTTTACATTGTAGCATATAATTTAACATGGTGAATGCTCAATATGCAATAAAAAAAAATACCCACTTAAAAGGAACCGTTGGGTAAAGTGCTAGATACCTGTCAGTTAGGTTGGGTCGGCTGTTAGTGTTGTTCAAGTCTTTACTCCTCATTGATTTTCTGTTCCCTTCAGATATTAAAGGGAAGTGTTGCAGTTTTTAGCTGTCATGTGGATTTGTTTATCTGTACTTTTACTTCCACTAAGTCTTTTACTTCATGTTTTTAAAACCTTTGTTGTTAGGTACATACATACTTTGGAGTGTTGTGTGTTCTTGATAAGTTCATCCCTTTATCCTTATGAAATGTTCCCTTTTATCTCTGATAATGTTATTTTTTATAGCTAAAGTGATAGCAAAGTTTATTAGGAAATGAATACTTTT